CCTTAGACCCTCCCCCGACGGCCCCCCTTCGCAGTCGGCAACATCGTACGTTTACTCGCTTATACGGAACAAGCGTTGCGGCATTGTGCTCTATAGGAGAATTGTTGCAGCATATTGCCTAGGTTCAGCTGCAACAATTACAAGTAGTTTTCCACGTGTTGCAATCCTCCAGAGTGTTGGCTGCCCGCCACGTTTCACCGACGGAGTAACAAACGCTTCTAAAAGACTGTCAACCCGCCAATGACGATAGCTAGGGCAGCGGGCAGTAGAGCAGCGACAACAACACAACAACAACAACGAACCGTAAAAGGCTTCTGTGGCCGAGGCCCGAAGAAACCATGGAGGGATCAGCGAGTCTCAACTTTGTTATTGTGCAGCCAAACGGTTATGGCTAAGAAGGGAAAACACGAGAGTTCCGACGAATCGTCCACCCCACCCCTCGGACCTTTTTAACCCCACTCGGTCCTATTGGCGCGCCCCACTCCGCGCGCGCCGAGTCCTCCCGAACTTCCACGAAGGGTTACGAAGGGATCAGCCAGACTGGACGGGGAACGCGTATCCCTGGAGTCTCGTAGCCCAGTACGATTATTCGTTCTAGCTCGTTCGTTTGCTCCCTTGCCCGGCTTTCCTGTTGCTCCTCGGTTTTATCGGTTTACAGGCGAATGGGATGTTGCGCAAAAGGCAACCACGGACCGAGCATCGATAGAAAAAGAGAAAAACAAGGAATGCAATTCCGCAACACGGCCGATTCCCACGCGGAAGTAAACGAGAGAGACCTCGCGGACGCTTTCCTTCGTGGCTCTGACGTATTTCACTTTTTCTTTTTACCGTCGTTCGCTTAGCCGACGATTGAGCACCCCTTGGCACGAGACGTAGGTGGACGAGGGAGCGGGGGGGTTGGTAGGGTAGACAATACGTCAGAGGCTGAAACAAAACCGTAGAACGAAGCGCGTTAACTCGTAGCAGCGCGATGCACGTCGGGAACAGCAACACGGCAAAACATAACAAAAAGTAAAACGTGCGCTTGGCTGTGTGCACGGTCACGTGGTTTTCTCTTTTTTTTTTTTAGTAAGCGTCCGTGTGCCTGTCTATTAGAGAGAGGCTCTCGCGCACGCCGTCAAGGCTGCAGGATAATCGAGGTAATTTGATGGGATTGTACCGATCGGCCAAGGAGAATGAGGAGGGCTAGGCGGCGGAGAGAGCCAACGGAGTCAAAAGAGAAGTTCAGCGGAACCAAAGGTAATTTCGCTTGGGAGGGCGATTAAGCGTGGAAAAAGGTAAGAGAAGAAAAGCAAAACAGAAGATTCAAATCGCCGTGTAAAGTTACGAAGGTTTGGGGGCCTCTGCCAGAGATTCTTTTTTTCTCTCTCTGCGCTCGGCTCTCGTATTATTCGTTCTTATTGCCATCCTTCGTTCTAGAACTGCCAATTACATTCCGTTTAGTAAACACCGACGTCTCCGATCCGTCGCTCGAATCTCGATGACTGGATACTTAAAACGTTTCTGACATTGAACAGTTGCTCGAGGGACTTAAAATAAATGCGTAATAGAAAAATCTGACGCCCGTGCGTACGTGTGATAATAATAATGGGAAAATTTGAAAATTCAAAGGTTCAATACTTACAGGCTGCCAGGGTCAATTCTACGACAAGGTACAAGGAGAGGAGGAACGGGCGTCGCGACCCTCTTTTTTCCCATTATGATTTAACGAGTCACGGAGCAGTTTAGTTTGACAAGTTGAAGCTATGATCATCAAGCTCCTAGGAAATCAGTAGCTGTCACAGACCCACGAGATAGGAGACCGGTAATACGTTATTTTCTTTCACTGGGTCCCGTGGTACTCATAAGACACTGCGCGCGCACGACGCTGTTTGAAATTAGTGGCGCCGCCATTTACCAAGCGTAGGACGACGAGGACGCAGTGGCGTGGCGGTTCTGTTTATCTTTTTTATTTCTTTCTTCTTCTTTACCTCGGTAATCCAAGAGATTAGTCGGAAATCACGCGTGGTTAATACATAAATCATATTCCGGCGGTAGAGGCAGCGAGCGAGAAAGTATCCGGACGTCGAGCGAGACGCCACAGCGACGTCGTACACGTCATACCTGACTGTTATATTTCCAACGTTGCAAGATCAAAGACCGAGTTACCTAATCAGGTCTAAAGCATTCATACTGACCCTCGAGCAAGATCGGTGAGGACCAATTACAATCGTCGTAGGCTGACGTGGGTCCACGAATTGACGGATACAAGGGATCCAAATTTTTTTTGTTTTTCTACATTACAATTCCCGACGGGAAAACGTTCGTAGGTCTTAGAAATTATTCTAGGCGATCGGTTTGTACCGGACGATAAAACCAGGAGGTTTCTGATGCGTGACGGCCCTGACGAGTGTACGAAGCGGCCGAAGGGATGAGACGAATTAAAAAAAAAAAGATAAACAGACTGGACGGTACGGCGGGGTTCGAGCGCAGTGTAGCAGGGGGGGAGGAAATAGGTGGAAAATTAAAGAGAAGAAAAAAATAAAATAAAAAAGACGTGACTGCAGTCTCGAAAGTCGTTGCGCCTGTCTTTTGGTACTGTAAGTGACTGACGACTACGGGGTCGAAAAGACGGCCGTTTCCCTGGGCGATAAAAAATGCATGACCCCGGGACTCTACCTGAGGCCTCCCAAACCAGCCTGGCGGAGGAACAGCCTCTAGAATTAGAGAGGCTGGACCATTAAAATCTGTAGGGATAATTGGCCGAGGCGGGCGGACGGCGAGGTCTCCGACGGTGCAATTTACCGAGAAAAATGTCGGAGCAAGAAAAATTTTTCGACCTAAAATAATTACAGGGGACCCAAAAAGTTTGGGACTCGCACCCGCGCAACCCACAAACTCCCATCCATACCCGTGACTCACTTTCGTTCATCCATTCTCTTTATTATTTCAATTCTCACTTTCAATCTCGTTCCTCATATTTTCATCTCGCACAGAAACGCGCGTAGACTCGATTCTCGCTATTTTTTTTTCTCTTGTTACGCACTATAACTGTGTTGTGCTTTCTAACAGCTTCTTATGCTTTACCGTCTCATCCCTTCTTGTTTCCCTTCGAGTAATCATAAATATCGGATTTATCGATCCGTCATGTCGAATCGATAAGACGGATCTCCTGACCGACACGCGTGTTACCTGGCAACACGTAGAACGAATGAAAAAAAAAAAAAAAAAAATTACAAAATTTTGACAAAATCGTAAATTTTGTTTTTTTAAATAAAAACAATTTTTTAAATTTATTTTATAAATAAATTTTTTTTTCTTTTCTTTACAATTTCCATTTTGAAGCTTTTTAACGAAAAGTCACGCACCCGTATTTCCCACTTCAAACATTCCCGTTTCAATGACAGGGACAATTCTAGTCTAGTCGAGCCAACCATCATTTAACTGAGATATCGCCTTCCAAAGTTCCGGCAGTTATGCATTAGCGATCCGAACGAGATACTCGCGTACGCATAACGTTAATGCGAAGGACAGACATCGTAGCATGGCTACTTTGCGGTTGGCAATATCGCGTTTCCGAGTTCAAACGGGTTTAAACGCGATTTCCATGAGTGGTCGCGAGACGTCAACGTATAGGCGCGTGACAGTTTCATGCGGACGCGTGTCTGGACGATGCGAAGGCAAGAGAAGAAAAATTAATATGAAATTCCTCCTTTTTCCTACTTCACGTGAAAATTCTCCAGCTACCCCGAACGCCTCGCTGTACTTTTAAACTTTTTACGTTAACGTGTTTCTCCGCGACGTAAAACTTTTTAATTCGACGAAAAACAACGACGAAGCAGAAGCGGGCGGGTGCCGCGAACGAAAACAATAATAAACGATAAACTCGATGTTAATAACCGAGGATCAGATTCCGCGATGTTCGGCGTTCCTCGAAATTTGAAAGTCAAAGCCAAATTTAAGACTCGTTATTACCAAAAAGTCGATTTTCGATTTGAAAAGGTTAACGCGAAGAAACAAATTTTACTGCACATTAAGAATTACATTAACGAAGACCATCGTTACTGACAGTCTGCTAGTGCGTTTATTGAAAAGTAAAAAAAAAAATGGTAAAAAACCTTTGACAGTTTCGAAAAGACAAAATTGCGAAGTTTCGTTGAATTTTAATTATTGCAAATTTTCATTACGCTAATGCGTCTTTTTTTTTCCTATTTTTTTTTTCCTCCATGACAATACTTGACATAAATTAATGGCGAACGATGCACTAGAAACTGTGATCGCTGCTATTGGACTTTGAAAAAAGATAAATAAATAAAGAAAAAGTTGAGAAATATTGTAATCCTACTATCTTGAAAAGCACCATCGAATTTCTCGTGAAGCCCCGTATTTGTTTAAGACGTCGCGATGCTACAAAGTATTAAGTATACACGCGGCGCTCGTCGACAGATAGTAAAAGAGACGTTTGATGTGAGCCGTTACAAGCAAGTAAGGCAAGTTGAAGGAAGTAAAGTAAAAGCAAGTCCCTTTTTCAGTGACGATGCCCCCCGAATTCTCTTTCATCTCGGTATATTTAAACGCGGCTGTTGCATACAAAATTTATCCAGCCTCTCGGTATCGATTCACATCTACGCAACGATACGCTGACTTTCGTTAGGATAGGCTGCTGGCGTGTATCGAGTCAAAAATAATTTTTCGAATACGATAACTGTCAATAACGTAAGCCACGTCGACGCATCTTAATGACCGTTAAAAAACAGAAAAAATTGCAGACACTGTATAATTAGAAAATTTTCAACTGATCCGGAACACTACGTAATTTTCGTTATTTTTCAATCGAACGATCGTCCGCGATCCTCGAATAAAACGAACGCGGCTACCGAATATTTCCAAGCACTCCCGTAACGCTGATTCCACGCGGACTTTCGTATTATTTCTGTCGATCGCGCTTCTAACTTTACTTTAACCACTCTCGACCTTTGCCTATCGCTTAACGCCGTTAAGAAGAAAAAGTAAACCCTTACCTGGGTAGCATCGGAATACGGCGTCGTCGAATGTTTATCCACAAGTAGGGATCCGAACAGGGGGATCCCCGAGCTCGACGGACTGTCTTGCTGTTGCGGCACCATTTTTTTTTTTCCAAATTTATAAGCAGATCACTTCACTTTCAAAGCTTCACGATAAACACCACACAAAAAACGAAAATGTACTCGGCACAATAAATCGCTCGATCTCAAGCGAATATCAGTTCCTTCGAAATCCGGTTCGCAAAGCGGCGACACAAGTCGCTATTGAGTCCTCTGTCCGTATATTTCACACTCGCATAGAAGACAAGTCGAAAGACCCATAAGTCTCAGGAGTACTGCAGCGTATATATCCACCCAAGAACGAACGTAAAACCGTAGCCATAAAATCGTCGATATTCCAGACGACAAGAGGAATCGAGACTCACTGGCCGGGAACGTCTTCACGTCGAGATTTACACGAGAAACAGGCAAGGACCTCGTTGTATCGGCAAAAGCTGAATTTCCATAAAAAAAGAAATAAAGAAACAAAGTAAAATCAATGTTCCGTACACGTTGACAAAGTATATTCACTGATAACAGCTTGTTTTTTTTTAATATAAAAAGAACGTTAACCTTATATTTAAAGTTTAATGTCACTACCGTGTAAAATACTCTATGACGACGGCTAAGAGCTTCTAACGTGGCTTTTTCACGTTTTCCGAGATTTATTTTTCTCTCATCCACGTTGACGGAGGCTCGCACTCTGATCGTATACTAGTACTTTACTCGGCCCTCGATGAGGAACGGCGCGTTAAGATTTTCTCACGGTCGCTTTTCGAACACGGGGTGACATTATTCCCGCTACTGACGAAAACGATGCTCGCTGAACGAGCGCTCGTGTGCTACTGACTCCGCGTTCCAAGGAGACTGCTAACTATACCAACTGGCTGCATCAGCTGTGCGCTCGACCCCCACCACGTCGCGCAAGCACGGCGTCAGCCAATCGGCTCGCGCCTGTCGCCCCATCCTTATTCATCCTTGAAAGCTCACCGACGTTCTCACTCGCGCACGCTGTTGCTGCTGCTATCGCGCTGCTTCTGCCGCTGTTGCTGCCACCACTGTCAAACCTCCGACTGGCATTTTATTTTTCACGCGTGTACCCAAGCAGTATTGGCAGTAGGCAGTACCGTATACGCGCGCTGGGTCGACTTCAATTCCTACTGTACGTGTAACGGCCACAGCATCTTGTTAGATACTTATCAAGATGTGAACTTCGTTTTTGATAAATTTTACAAATTTTTTTTATCATTGACGTTCGCAGTAATTACACATGTTTTCCTGTTTTTTGTACATTTCACCAAAAAATTCACCATCGTCAAATGCTCGTTTGTACGTTAATACGAATGATCGCTAGGAGCGATTAATATCTTGTCAAAGATAATTATTTTGAGTCATCCCTGCGAGGCGGGGTGAAAATAATTTTTGAAAATTTTTCAAGTCCAATTTTTTGTCTCTTTCATACGGTACCGTTAGCGAGGCGAGACTGCGTGGCTCTTGAAAAATATAGAGTAAAAAAATATGCTTGACTCCTCGAGTATCGTAAATACTTGAATGCTTTTTTTCTTCTTACCCCTCGGTCCTCTTAACTTCGCCTTTCTTTTTTCAAACCGCCAGCCTGTCGGTCTCCGTATCAACTACAGTAAACGTCAAAACGCGTCTTGTAAAACAGTACGTAGCCACGGTTTACATCTTCCTCTTACTTTATTGCAAGCCGTAACGATACTTAATAGCCTTGACGATCCGCGAAATTATACTTGGCGAATATTCGCACGCGCGAATGAATCTCAAAATATAATGAGCAATCGTTTAACGTGTAATTACGCAAACCGGAAATTGTACGAGACGAAATAATATATCGAGCGGAAGGGAAGAAAAAAAAAAGTTTTCCTCTTTACCGACCGAGATAAAACGCAAAGAGTTAAATTTACACGAGGACAAGCAAAAGGAAAATATGAAGCAAAGATTTCAAAGGGAAACAACCTAAAGTAAGCTTATTCCGATGAATCATAATAAAATCAAAGAAATTTCAGTTCGGAATACTATTTTCACGAAATACACTTTTTTCTTGGGGGGATTTTTCGCAAAACTCGCTATTCACCTATTCCTTCGCGTGAATCGAACTTCCGTTGGCCTTGCTAATAAGAATTACGGGGGCTTTCTCGCCCTTGAATCTAACCGGTGCCAATTTTTCTTCGGAAACAGGAAAAATAATATTAATTATCTTGCGAATTCTCTCTGAATCCGACGTTCCGAAAATAGTTACTCTATACGCTATATACCTATATACAGCTCCATTGGATCCTCGGAAAACGTTACCTTAGCGCAAAGTGCGTTGATTTACGATGACGCTCCGAGAAAGCATTAGATACAAGAACGGCTTCGTCTGCAGGACATTTTTAGGTATTGCCGGGTACGACAGTTAGCGAGTCTGTACCCACTGGTATATCTATATGGCACGCATACAGTTGGCTCAGCCAGACGCTTTTATATACTTTTCATTGCTGCAGACGCACGTGTAAAAAAAGTTGTGCAAAAAAAACAAAAGAATAATAAACTCAAGAACTCACCACGTGGATAACTCGGAGAATTCAGAAATTTCTATGCGAATTCATCGGCGTCGTAAAATTGGTTTGATTGGCAAAAACACTAAAAATTTATAATTGAGTGAACGAGTACAGAGACAATTATTGAAAAAAAAGAAGAAAAAAAAAATCCAATGCGATTTAATTAATCGTATAAAAAGCCATTTGGATTAAACTGTCGGACGATCAATTAATGATTTTATCGAAGTACTTAGAAACTTTTTAAATTCATGTAAAATTTATGGGAAAATCGTGAAAATTATTGATAACGTTCGCGACCGTCTAAACTAATCGTATTTAAACCTGACCTGTGAAGATTAGTGGAAAAAAAAGTTTTGAAAATAATTTTGGATTTCCTATATTTTTTTTTTCAACGTTGGCAGACACCTCTTTTTTAGCTACGTCTAATCGTATATTCATTGTAGAAAATACTTGCGTTTTTAATTTTTTTTTTTTTTTTTTCAAGGTTGGTATTCACGAATCGGCAGATCGCGGCAGGCACGAAACTTCTTTTTCGATGGACCCCGATCAGTTTCTCCTTGCTTCTGTTTTCTGGCTGCAGCACTGTTCGGCCGTTACGCTTAGCCAACAGTCAACGGCTTTGCTTAGGTTAGGTTTGACTAGGTTATGTATGTTGGGTTAGGCTCGGCCAAGGACTTATTAAAGGAATAAAATGCAATCGAATTTATACCGAACGGAAAAAATAACCGACGGCTCTCCGTGCGACGGTGGGAGCGGTTCGACGGTTAACCGGATGCCAACTGCAACTTGAGAATACTAAATGCACCGCGCGACGATGTGTTTACATGAAAATATTCTAACGATACCAACCATAAGGCATAATACACTCCTTGGTTACTTTTCAGTATAGGCTTCTATAGGCTTCTATACGTATACGTGTATACGTGAACTTGGCGTGCTCTTCCGATAACCGGTTGCCGAGAAATTCTTCGTTATCTTAATTTTATGACCGAGTGCATTGACTTTTTGAATTTTCAAATGCTAAACCATCGAGTATTACGATTTGCAACCCAATTTTTAATATATTGGCACGGGGTCGGAAAAATTTTCAAAAATTTTTTTTTTCGAAAAAAAAAAATACATTTCTCTACCGATCCATAATCTTTGGTATTACCCTTTCGAGTGGGACGAAACAACGTTTCGAGTTGATCGGATATGATTTTTGTGAACGGTATAAATTTTTTTGGATTACATGAAAAGTTTTTCTTTAATGGAGGAAACAAGCTTAAATAATGCAATGGTACGTGTGATATAACTTTCAACCTCTCCGTCGACCGAAAAACCATACGCAATTAGAATCAATCGATGTTAGTCCAGTCAATAGTCAATTGTCAATTATCATGCAGTAAACCGATAAGTCCTGCGATTGGAGTTTTATCTGCTTTTGGGTAAATACATTTAGTCTTGATATCTACGAGCGCGTAAATAACCACGTTAAACGGGAAATAGGTGAGTGAATATTTTCCAAAAAAAAAAAAAAAAAAAACTTACGACTTTCAAAAATAATTACCATGTAAAAGTCCTCGCGAATTTTATTTTTCAAAGTGCCATCCGTAAGTCTATTTCAACGTTAAGGAGTCCCCTAGACCACGTCCTTTACTCGCGGATCGACCAACGATACAACAATGACAATAAATGCTTCACAGTGTGATACAAAATTATAGGTTATGATCGAGACTGACTGCAAAGTAAAACTAAAAGTGACTATAGAAACATCCTTAATTATTTCATACAAACGATGCTCTACTTTCACACAATGCCGGCCTTGGTTACAGTCAATAAATTCGTAACACATATGCACTAACGGAATAATGCCATCGAACAATGTCTTTCGATTCCTCTTTGATATTTCTACGTGATTAGTCGAATATGCAGGAATGATAATATCTCAACAACAACAAAAATCATTACGATCAATATCAAAGGCAAACGGTATCAATGCGTCCTTATCAATCGTCCATATAAAATTCTCGAATATTATCACAACGGAGTGCCCTCCATTATATTAAATACTCGATGACAGTGCCGCGTAAATATTTAATCTTCTTGAATAACTTGGACTGGTACAATTTTGACGTATTGTTGAATCCGTTTGCGAAGACAAAAAAAATTTCTCTTAAATTCACATATATCAATGACGATTCGATATATATAAATTAAATTTTGATTTTAACCCCCAAAATATTAATGATACAATCAATTTGATATCAACTGTCGAGTGGACGATAAAAATATGATTAAAAAAAAAAAAATTGGCGAATATGAAAAATTTTTAAATGACACTGTCACGGAATTAATTTAACGATCGGTCGATATTAATATGTAAATAATTTAAATTGAAGATACACTGACGAAACGCAGCGTCAGCGCGAGAGCAACCATTGACGATTACCGTATGCGTAAATCATTGAACGTATATTCTAGCCCAGTTGTATTTGTCGCTAGAGATGAAGGTTTTCGAAGTAAAAGGATCGGCATTTTCTTCGTAGAATTTTTAGCGAACGGCGGTAGGTATCCTAAGGGATAGGCCTGGATGGATCAACAATGGTTTACCGTGCATAGGCGAATACGTGAAACGTAGTGCGTACTGTACGTATAGAAAAGTAGGTACGAGTAAAGGCCACGAGGAGCGTCGAAGAAAAAAAAAAAAAAAAAAGAAGGAAGGAAAAAAAGAAAATAGGTTTAAGCTGCTTTTCAAAGAAATATAGTTATATATACATCCATTCAGAATCTCTACAGCGACGGGCTCCCCCCTGGTAGCGACGCCCGTACTATGCGCTACCGGCACGCCATCTATTATAATTTTGGGCCTTATGCGCTACGGACCCTTTAAACTTTAAATGTCCTGTAGCTCTGCGTGGCTGAGCGGGGGCCTTTAAACGTTTAAAAGCGTAATGGTGTGCGATCCGATGCGTGGCTTTTCCTACGGACCGGAAGGGCCCAGAGGGTTGTTAGGACCCTATATATAGGTATAGGGCCCTACGTATAGTAGGACCCAACTGCTTCTTCTTGGATGGATGCAGGAAATGGAAATCCAGAAGGAGCTCGTGATTCTTGGAAAGTATGTTAGCAGGACGCGTACAATGGGATGTTACGTGTTAAATTCCAAAATGCCAGGCCTGCTGGGCGCGGTGCGGTTTTTTTGACTTTCTAATTTTGGTTTTCCGAGCTGCTGCTACTGACGGGTGATAATTTTTTTTCTAGGCAAAAATCGCGTGGTTTCATTAATTTTTGGAGTAAAAATTTGTAAATTTTTTTTTCTTCAAAATTGTCGGTAACTTACGCTTTCGCGTTTACCTACGTGCGCCAAAGTCATAGAGATTTTTAATCTCGTCTCGGACGAGACTCGAAACGCAATCACGTTCGAACATACTTCTTC